CCCCAAAACCCCAAAACCCCAAAACCCCATAACATAAATTTAGGATTGAAATGGATATGGCAACTGGAGCTTTCATAGTAATTCTCAATAGAATACAGTTACAATACATACCAACAAGAGCTAGATTGCTTTAAAGTGGGGTTGGGAGATTTCCATGGAATTCATAACCTTTCTGATCACAAACTAGACTTTATTAGGGAAAAATAATACTCTGAGCTTAATTTAAACTTGTCATTTTCAAGACTAGTTTATTTCTAAAGATGAGTAAGATGTCTGATCTCATTAAATCATCAGATCTAAATATTGCACAGTTAGAACCCTAGGAAATGCAAATTTGTTGATGAATTAGGCTTACAAATTGTTGCCAATCAGTCTCATACAGCCTTGACATAATACTTTGACATAATTCTCAAGTCTTCATTCCAGCTAATCAATAGAGAGAGCTCTTCTCGTCAACATACATCAACAGAGAACACAGAAATAGCGTAATCCTAAATTTATGGATCCTGCAAGATATTTAAGCATGCTAAATTTTGTCATAGAAATGACCTATCAACTTGTACACCAAGATAAAAGCTAGACTCGTCTGCAGGATGGAGGCAGAACTGACTCCGTATCAGTCACTACAGCACCAATCTGACATCTATAAGTCAGCAGCTTGTTGCAAAAGCTGGAAGTGTTTGGCTCCAAAAAGGATCGCTAATATAAGAACTCCATGCTTTGTTGGTATTTAAATTATCTAGCTCATAGCCCACGAAGTGTCTCAGAGCAAGAATTCTACCAAATGGATAGGTCCTACTTCTTGAAGACTTTCAGAAAGTATCTTCTACTGTGAGGCTTTGGAAATATGAGTTTACCACAAAACACGAAGATGGCTTTTGAATAATTCTTAAATAAAGAAATTCGTGGTGACACTCGAATAAATTTAAGAACTGAGCTTTTTCAAATAACACAAGTAGAGTCTCATGACTCTGAGCATGCCATTCGCAGTTATATCTATAAGGAGGTTATAAAATATTTAAAAAATTGGAGATCTTTCACAGTTCTCGGTTTAGTAAAAACTCTGCTGGTCACATATCTCGGTGAATTAAGGCTCAAGGTTTTAGTACGAGAAGGTTGACTTGGCCAATGATAAAATCCACAAATATTCCCAAGCAAGTTCTTCTCTAATTTTGAATTTATCACTATTTGATGCTGTCAAAAGGAAGGAGCCTTATAGGATATATAGTTTCCGATTCTATCCTGAGTTTATAAATAATTGAGATTAGAAAACTTGGCTTGATGATAAGCAAATAGAATTTTCAAAGAGAGTCTTGGAAATTTGAAAGTACCTAAGAAGGAGGCACTAAGCCTGGCTCTAGGACTAGATTTATCATCTCAAAGAGCTCTTGAGAGTTACCTCCTTGGCTCTCCTTCGTTATGGGTTCAGGCTAGTGTTCAAATAATATGGCTTCAATTAAGATATTTAGTAGGGTTTGAGAAATTTCATAAAATGAAGAAGAGACCGTAGAATTTTTTTGAAGCCAAAGTAGACACAAGATTGATTTTAGCTTTAATCATACAAGTTTAAACCTTCGCAAGCTCGTATTTTATGTGAACATCCTGTTTGATAATAATATTATGAACTACACTATTAGCAGATTCCGGATTCTGAATCTCATTAAGCCCATGATTTCTTGGAAATGCAGGCACTATCAGGCGATTGAATAGTTTCACTATGAATCGGATAGACTTCGATACTACTTCTCCACTACTTTGTCATGACTTTAGTCAAGAATTAAGTATTTGATTCAGTCTAAATTATGAGAATCGGTATGGCCTAATTTCTTATAACAGGGATGGACACTTTGTTATAAGAAACAGCATGATATTATATTAATTTCACAGTCTGTTTATTCGGAAGGCCTGGGGTTCACTCTAATAATTAATTTGATTCATTTAAAAAGATGAAATTGGTAAAACATAAAATCAATTTGGCGATTTCTAAAAATTTCTATTTATTTACGGCAAAAGGTTTTTCATAAAGACCCAAGCTGAGCTTATACTATTTCCTATTGCTAAATATTTAGCAAAATTAGCGAAAAGAAATTATGAAGGAGCTGTAGGAGCCCTTTATTTGATAATCCACTGATATATTGGAGAAGTCATAGGTTTAATTAACCCATGAAATAATAACATAACATCGAAGACTGATGCTAATGTAGAGATGATTAAATAGCAAGAAGTTTTTTTCTCCTATCCTCAAGGCTCTCAATAGCATTAGATGAAAGATATCTCGAGTTTATAATAATTCTCTGCCTACAAATATTTCCAAATTTCGTATTATTAAGAACTGAAATTCGACTTTTCATAAACCCTTATAAGCCTAAATCTGAATTGCGTAAATGCTGAATTAGCCAAGACCCTAATGAACTGGAATTCAAAGCAAAGAGAGAGATTTTTAAGCAAGTTTTATCCAGAATTAGTTAAGACTGTTCTGAGGGTCAAATTGCTGTATTTCAAAAGGGTGGAACTTCTTTTGGTGCGTCTAAATAATGAGTTAAGTTAAAATGGCTCTTACCTTCAGGTTGTACTTCTCTGTGTACTTTTTGCTTCAGAACTGGCACTCGTAGCTCCTACGATCGTTAACGCTTGGATCTGTGTGTCTCTTCATGTGCTTAAGCATGTTGCCTTTCTGAGTGTAAGATTTGTCTCAGAATTTGCATTTGTAAGGCCTGACTCCTTCGTGCATCCTGACGTGGTCAATAATACTCCATGATCTAGTGAACTCTTTGTTTCAGGCTCCGTAATTGCAAATGTAGACTGTGGTGATACCTCCCTTTGGATTCTTGCGCTTTTGGATTGAACAGTTATAGTCTTGAAGCAGCTTCATATTCAATTTGCTTTTTGTCAAATTAGAGAGTCTCTTGCCTAGCTGCTGACCATCTAACTCGATGCCTTGGTTGTCAGCATCTAGCACAGTCATACTGTCAATTCCAGAGGCTGGAGCTTGTGAAGATTGAGAGAATAAAGCTTGATTGAAGTCCATGCCTCCGTCGACAGCACCAAATGGATTCCTAGTAAACTTTCAATTTTGAAATAGCTCAGGAGTCTTGAAATTGTGATAATTTCTAAACTCAGGACTCATATTAGTAACTGTAGCCATTTCATTAAGAGTAGGATACACTTCTTCAATCTCATGAATAAGATATTTATCATTGATCGAAGAGTTCCCCAAACTATGGCCTATTTCCATAGGTTTGATATTTCAGTGGCAGTATCTTTCAACATCAAGAAGATCGTCGGAATACTTTTGAGGGATTGCCAGCACTTTACTAGGGAAGCCAGAATCTCAGAGATCGTGAGTGAATTTCTCAGTATAAGATTTCATGAATTTCTATAGCCCAAATAAATATATCCAAAAATGTCAAATACGAACCCAAATCGCCCGCACCAGTCTTCTTCACAAGTTTGTTCTTACCTAAAACAGTTGTTTTCAAAAATATTATTTTTTCAATTACCTATTGGTAATCCGGGGTTTTGGGGTTTTGGGGTTTTGGGG